GATGTCCAGTAAAAGTAGAAATATTACAGATCTTCGTGAAATATGTAAGTAGATCGGAACCATAAGGAATGTTACGTCACATCAACATTTTGCTAATTAATGGGAGTATTTAACCATGCATACAAAGTATATATAGACCTATATATTATTTAATGAATTTTGTTTTAGTTTTAATAGCTAATTTATTTATTTTTACATTTCACAACATAGTTATGTATAATAACATAGTTATTTATGTTCTTCATTAGAAAACATTAATTGTGTGTTGCATTCATAATTCATCATATTGGGATATTAAAGAGGAAATATCACCTCCTCAATTTTAGTTTGTGGTATAATTAAAAAAAAATCTTTTATAGTTTCCTTTATTTTAATTAACATGATTTTCTGGAATTTAATGAGTATTAGTAAACTCTACCTGTGCTGTATGCATGGCTCATATGCTTCTACAGTACTGCTGAAGAAAATACAGAGGAGGTATGTGCACATACAACAATCCTCCGTTAGGTGACTAATCGAACACACGTGCCCACAAGGCATCCAGGGGTGGCAAACTATTCATAAGGCAGAAGTCCAACAGAGGTAAGTTTATAACTTACCTCGGCTGTGCTTTTCACCCCAGTAAACGCAGCAATAGAGTTCACTGAACTAAACAAACAAGGAACTGTCACTTTTCTGCAAGTGACAGTCAAGTGACAGTTCCTCTCTAAGATGGTAATGTTACATGTCAAATCTATGAATACTGATTTAAAAGGAATTGTTTTATTACTATGCACATGTCAGTTTAACCCTTTCAGAACCTGCGTTAGACAAAACTGTTGTAGTCGTGATAAAGCTGACACGTGTTAATGTGCAGTTAGTGAATTTTAGATATTTTACTTGTAGATTTTATTGTTAATTTTGAAACATGTCTGCAGCCATTAAATTCAATATTATCAAAATTGTCATGAAAATGAAAAGATAACTATTTTAAAGATCCTTTCACTAAGAAGTAAGCTCTGGCGTGCTGATGACTAACTTACACACACAACACACCTGAGTTGAAAACAAGAATTCTAACACAACACAGTTGATTTCTTGCAAACATTTTTATTATGTGGACTATATTTTGCAAGCTCGTAGTCCACTCACCAAAACCTGTAGTTTAGTAGATAGGTCACATAGTAGGTGACATGTCTGATCCTTTAAAACCAATCATATGGTTTAATACAGGAGGCATTTTATATATGTATTAGTTCATTTTTTATATTTTTCTATCTTGTAAGCAATGTTTTGTACTTCCAATGTAAACATGTCAATCTTTACATTCTACTGTTTGTTGGAGTTTCTGTTTTAATTATTAATGAGTATATATCACAACAGCCTCAGAAAGGCATGAATTAGGTCTTTTGTGCCTCATTGAAAAAAAATGTGTCTGCCTGATAACAAATTGTCTCTTTCTGTGCATATTACTAGCAGTATATGACAGATACACAGAACTTTGGTGCTTGAATAGTCATGCTTATATATATGGTTATTTCCTAAACTCTGAACTATAGTGAACTGAAACGTGAATGGCAGTATTTAGCCAGATTTGCTAATTCTGAGAAATTACCCAAACTCCACTACAGTCACAGCTAGGCTACTCTAGTCTATATTCCATCCTTTTGATTTCAGTTCCCTAAAATGTGTAATTTAGTGAATAAGCATGTTTTTTGTTTTTACAGTATAAACATATTACTTTAGTTTGATGTACACAGAATTAGTAACTTATATGTACCACCAAAAATATTATCTTTCCATATACATGTCTATACATTGTTGTTTGTATTTGAATCCATGCAATATTTCTTATCTCGTTAGTATCTAATAATGTAAGTAATGCAGTAGGTGTTTATTTATTCCCATGTAAATATGTTTATTTATCAAAACCAATTTCAACTTCTTTATTTATTATCTAAGTATTGCAGGAGTATTGTATTTCTGTATGTATTTCCTAGTTATTTTGATGTCCCAACTTTTCACTTTTATACTATATGTCTTATTGCAGACAAGCTCATCGCAGAGTGCATTTTATTTTTCTTTATTCTTAAATCAAATCAAAACCATGCCAGGGATATGATTTTATTAAAAGAATCGAATACAAAAAGAGCTATTAATTTTATGATGTTATGCACTTACTTCTTAAAATATAAAGTGTTTCCTTCAGTCCAGAGAATACTAAAGGGAACATCTATCTGATATCATATCTTTTTGATCGTTTGTGAATAAGCATCTTTGGCATGCATTTAGTTTCATGTATTTATTGACATTCTATCTGTTTGTTAAAATATTGCTTTGATCTCTTTTTGTGGTAGTGGTGTGTTTTTATTTTTTTTCCCTTAAGTCAATACACATTATGTTTGAGAAATATGCTTGCAAGCACTTTGACGTAATGTAATATATTTTATTTTGCCTTTTTATGGGGAATATCAATATTATGTAACAGTCCACAGCTAAGAATTATTTTTAATTAAATAAACATTCAAGACAATTATCAGAAAAATATTCAAAGTATTGTATATATTATATTAGTAATAAAATCCATGTATTTAAATGATGGGTATGCTTTTATATAATTTTGAAAGAGTTGAGCCTACTTATTTTAGATCTGAAACAATGGCAGTTTTTTGAATATTAGTTATCTATTAAAAGCATGTTATGTAAAATGTGGGTTTGAACACATTTTATTTTATTTAAATTACAGAGTATTACATTATTTTTAGTCTTTTTACTTTCACTCCGAAATAAAACACGTGAACCTTAAGCCACACACACTTATTTGCTAAATAAATACAATTTAACTTGCTATATACTTTAAAGTCCCAACCCACGACTGATTCACAACTTGCATTATTTATTGTAATAATATAAATTTTTTCAGAATCTACAATACATGTTTCTCATAATTCTTTAAAATGAGGATAGCTGCAGAGAAATATAAACTTAGCATAACTATGCTAATAATGTCCTGTTATAAATCACATTAATGAATTATTGAGTGATTTTTATTACATTTTACAAACACGAAAAACCATATGTATTCATTGCTTTTAAAAGCATTAATAGCAAAAGGAAATTTCAAAAACCAAACCAGTTTTAATAAAATATTGAATTCATGTAAACTTGGGTTAATTTTATCAAAATTGCATTTATAAAAAAATTACCTAGATGTCTAATTTTATACTTTGTTTATCCTACAATTACATAAAAATTGTCAGAACTTTATTATATTAAGGGATATGAATTGCATTGGTTAGGTTTTCCATAGAGTCATCACTTTAGATTAAATTTAGGAAATACATTGAGTAATAAATTTGTTTACTGACATTTTAATAGACCACAATTTGTGTGTTGTTTTGTGAGTTTGCTGAGGTACTTTTGTGTTACATTAATTATAGATGATTTTGTCACTCAAATTCAATATGACATGTTCTTAGTTCACACAACAAAGAAGGCTTAAAATTAAATTAAAAAAGGGAAAATATGTGCATGATTAATCCAAGAGAAAGCGCTTCTTGAAGATTTGTATTTTCTTAAAATTAACTGTATGTTACATTCATAGTAAGACAGATATTGTTAAATTATACACAAAATGTCCATATTATATGCTAAATAACACATTTATATTTGTAGTTTTTAAACTCATATTTATTTGTATTATTGGAAATGTTTAATTGGACATTAGATGGAAACGCAGTTCATATTCTTAAAAAATAATAGAACATGTAATATTATATCAGTTATTTATACCCTTATGATAGTGTGTGCTGCAAATTGAGAACTAATGTTATAAAAAAATTATATCTTTTCAAATAGCACCATGAAATATTTATTTGCTTAAGCATTTAAATACTACACATTTTGATGTTGTAACCCTATGATAAAATATTCCCAAGGCATTAAAATAAAAAGTCTATTCTTGTTACGTTAATTCATGAATTGAACATATTTAACACATATTTAAGATATTGCTCACCTACTCTACAAAATAGCTTATTTTGGTAAAACTACATAAATTAGTTGTCAGTTATAATTTCTTTGTATAAACATGAATATAAAATAACAAAAAAAAAAACTCAAACTAAAGAAATAACAGCACAACGACCCAGAGTTTAGCTAATGTAATGGGTCTATTCACTAACCAGGAAATTAAGATAAATTGATAATTAAATGTGCAAAATTTAAAGTAAACACTTTAACCTGAGAATATAGCTTACATGAAGAATTTTTTACCTTACTTGTTTTTTTTTGAGTCTTAGAAACCAGATTTCTACTCCACTATATCTCAATATTTAGTGAATAAACCCCTACATCTATACCATTATTATTCATTTTTTATTTATTTATTTATTTTTTACTAATGTAGTCACTGAGAGTGTACACAGTTGTATGTATTACAATTCTAGCATGCATTTTTTTATCATTCCATTTTTGGAATACCAATTTGTTTACTTAACAGATACCGTTCTAAAAATCTTCTATAGTGGTTCATGCAGATAACCAAATATATCACCTGTCTCCCACCATAGACATCTAACCTCTGCAATGGGTCTTTCCTTACAATCTGATATTTCTCTTTTAAGCATTCCCCTTGCCATCTGTCTCCATCACCCCCAATCTGCCTCAAAACTTCCAGATCCCAAGAGCAGGGCCCTGAAGCCCTTCTTTGGAAGCATGTGTTATAAGTATGTTATGTTATATTTCCTGTAATGTCTTATTGTACACGTTTGTAAAAATCCTGTTATTTTGCACAGGTCTGCATTAACTGCTGTTGCTTCATAATACAAAAATGATAAATACTATTATTAATAATAAAAAATAATGAGGTAAATCGTGCATGGTTTATTTGAAATTCTGTAGCATACACAGACACAAAATTCCGTTTGATACACACATAGAAAAGTAAATAGTCAATTAAAAAAAAAACTGACAAAAAATAAAAAAAGTAAAACAGAGGGATTCTCTCCAAATTATGCCAAGCAATATGTGTCTTGCCAGGAAAGTGCAAAGTTAAATATTTAAAAAATAATTAACATTAATGTTCATTGTGGAATCAATTACATATAAGTTAAACTTTTAAACTTTAAAAAATAAAACTCTCAGTCATGTCACCAATTCTTGATAAATAAAAATAACACGCGCGCACAGATAAGTGAGGTTATGCTTTAATGCCACAGACAATGTGCACTGCCATTTTCATTGTCAGATACACTTCAAGCAGAACCTTGTGAATAAAATGATTTGATTGTCAAAGCATCTTTGCAGTGAAACCGAAGGGGCAGAGCTTTAAAACACAGAAATTGTTTCCTGTAGAATTTATTTCCACATGTGCTCTTTAGTTGATGATGAGGTAGAAACAGAACCTGTATTGCAAATGGGGAGGATTTTTAATAGGGAACGTGAGGTAAACCATGCAATGAATTTGTCTCTTTAGTTGTTTAGTGGGTGTCACTTTATTAAATTAAATAATATTCAAGGTATGTGTGCTATACAGAAAATTATATTAGCAAATAACTTAAAATTGTAACCACTGGTGCAATATCATCACAAATTATTATATACAATCATAAATATAAAAGGCTAGCTCAAACTGAGAGAAACAGATGGGTTTTCAAGTTTCATTAGTTTGCTGTTCATTCCTTTCGACTGATTTCTTTTTTTAAATTTTTTTAATTTTATTTTATAAAGTCAATGGAATTTGGTCATAGGAGTCTTAGTCAAACCAAAACAGTACTATCCCAAAGTTACCACTCACCAGTCCAACTTTACAGGTACCTATGGTGTTCCAGTTAATGTCCCTTATCAGTTAATTGTATTTGCCAAAATATGAAGACATACTGCAGGTCTGAATTCCCTTAGAATGAAACCAGGTATTTTGACAGTTCAAAACAGTGCATGATTGTTCAATATGTTGCAGAAAACTTCATTCTTTTTTGTTTCTGCCTCTGATTGCAAAACCAGACTCGTACTACATTTTTTTTCAAGTCTAGTTTCTCTGCAATAGCTGCAATTTTCTCTGAAGACGGTCTTGGCTGAACAGCAAAATAGGCTTCTAGAGAACGTTTTTCTGGGGCTGCAATAGAAGTACGTTTGCGTTTCTTGTCTCCTCCTGTAAAGATTTCGGGTTTGGTCATTTTCTCCCTCTGAGCTCTCTCAGCCTCTTCTAGCCAAGCTTCCAAAATGGGCTTTAGGGCCACCATGTTATTATGAGATAAGGTAAGGGATTCAAACCGGCAAATGGTGCTTTGGCTGAGGCAACCAACACCAGGAATCTTCAAATTGGCCAAGGCAGATCCAACATCAGCCTGTGTTACCCCAAGTTTAATTCTCCTTTGTTTGAATCTTTCTGCAAATGATTCAAGTTCTCTGGGATCTGTTTCACTTTCAGAGCATGACATTGCTTGGTGTGCTACCAAGCTATGGTTATGAGCGATGCTCATAGATTGTGTGTGGTGGGCCATGTGGTTGATGGCTGACATATGGGCATGTGGATGGGAAGGTGTAGATCCGACATCTGGGACACCTCCTAAGGTAAGAGCAGGATTTAGGTGGTCAAGAAGATCCTGATCTAAGCCCTGTGAGGATTGGTGGTGAGGATGGTGATGTGAGTGGTGGGTTGTTAGTACCGAAGGATGATGTAGATGCACTGAAGAAGAAGTTGGGGTGCAGGACACACTACTCATCGTATGGTATGTAGCATCTGGTTTGAATGGATGTGTCTTCTGAGATACAATATCCACAGCAGCCAAAGCTTCAGCTCCCCTCAGCAAAGTCTCATCAAAGCCAGCAAAGATGTTGCCTTGTAACTAAAAAAAAAATATGTTATAAAAATTAGCATTAAAAACCTATTGCGCACAGTATTATGCAAAAGAGTTGTCAGTGCTACAATTTAAATCAATTATTGCATTATGTGACAGCTATTTCGTAAAATACAACTTTAGCCAAATGTTAGAAAAAAACAAAGCAATACAATTTAGTAAAAATAGTTTGTTTGTTTTTAAAAATGAAACGCTTTTTTTTTTTTTTTTTTTACCAAAAGTCACTTTCATACATAACAACATTTCTTAAATCAAGAAAGCACAAGGAAAGCTGCTTATAAAATAAATGCATGCATAATTTAAAGGTTTTTCCAGAAAGCCAAACCACAGATTTTGCAACCTTCAGTTACACCAAGAAAGAGGTTTTAAAACATCAATTTTTATGTTAAATATATAAAACATATAATCGCTGTAAACACATGTCTATAGACTGCCTATATATTTGGAAATATAGTCAAGAAACAAAAGTCCAGACCGGTTAATTGTCTAAAAACCAAACATTTTCATTTCTTACCTGTGGGGCTGGAAGGCAGGCTCTCCGGATAGCTTCTGAGCTGCTATGCAGCGGGGCATATTTCGGCTCATGCAGCATGGGATGCATGCTGAATGCCTGTTTGCTGTTCATGGACATCATTTTGGAATGCACAGTGGACACTATGTTGCTAGTGCATGAGCAGGTTGGAATGTGGTTTAGCTTTGCTCTTTTTAGTGTGTTGTTTTGTCTGACTTCTTATCACAGTATCAGTGACAGTGATCCCTCCTCCCGCATCTAGGATTGGAGGAGCTTCTTAGCAAAGGACTCCTCCCTAATGAAAAATGAGCTGGAGGCAGTGAGATCACTCTCAGCATCACCAACCACTCCTTTAGTCTTCCCCTGAGCCCTAATGAACAGCAGGCAGTCAGGTGGCTAAGGATGAATCCTGATACCATTGTGTTCATGAACTGTTACACTGCACAGCATGAAGCTCATCGTAAGAGGATCTTCTAGTCTCCACTTGTGAGACAATGAAAGAGAAGACATCCAAGAGAGGAAATTACTAGCTACAAGAATTACAATTGAAATACAGCTGGCAAAGCGTGACTATAAGTCTCTCTCTCTGTTCAGTGATAACAAGTAGAAACTTTGCTGCATCAAATTCACATCCTGTGTTCTGACTTAGTATATCAGTAATGCTCATTTTTTGATTTTTTTTTACAGTTTATTTTTACATTTTAAAGAATCATTTACGATGTGTCCTGGGGATAGGAAGGCTTAATACATAAAATGCCCAATATGTCACTCTCTGAATCCCATCTTAAAAGTAATATGAGAGAATGGAGACTTTACAGAGGGGCCTTGTATCTTAAGGACCAAAATTACTAGCACATACAATTACAATATACGTGTCACAAGTGACTCCTTTGTGTGATCATATAGCAGTACATCATTCTAATATCAGTGATGTTATTATAGTCTATTATGCACAGTTCTCTGTCACGCTGCCTTAACAAAGTAAAACATCTTTCACCTTTTTTCGGCTCACCTTCTGGGTTGATTAACTCTTTAAGAGCTTTTGGAAGTTTAACTAGTTTTTAGGCTCTTCTGGTAGACACTATGAGCTGTGGGTCAAAAAACAAAAATAAAGTTATGAAGGGTAACAGAAAGGATAATGAAAGAATAAATTATATTGCTGAAAGAGATGCGAATTGAAAACTATGCTGAATTTAACCCCTTCCTGACACAGGATTGTGAAAATCTAATTAAATCATTGTCCTCCTTTCATGCCTTTGTGCCACAATAGGGATAATCCCTAATCCAGAGATAGCCAACGATGGCACTGCTAATGTTTTGAACAATATTTCCCTTGAATGCACAGCCAGTCATATCACACTTGTTACTGCACTTGAGTGCAGACCAAGAATGTGGCATCCAGCGGCAGTCTACAAAAAAAGTGGATTTTTTATTTTTTGTTATGTTTAGCGAAAATGTATCCAAATGCCAATATCCACCAAGCATTCTTTTATATCACATGACATTTCTGATCTTGATGCTTTCATTATCAAACAACTCTCTGCTCCCTTCACCAGTGTGTCACCACTATACCTCACTATATAAAACACAATTGGCACACAGTATAGCTTCCACAAGATGGATGATGTGATTATATTTAGCCATATTCAATGCAAAGTAGTCCCTAGAGATTGAATCCTTTTGTTAGAAAGGGTCCTGCTCATCTATTTACTTTTATTGAACTGGTTGCTCTTTGGCAATATTAGAGTGTACTGCTAAATTTTTTCAATTTCAGCTGTTTATTTTTTTTTTTTTTTACTCACCGGCTGTGAATAGGGGAAAAAAACAGAAGACTGTTATTCTATTCTGCAAAGGTCTGATCTCATCCCATAAATACTTGTTCGGCAGAGGATTATGGGATATGTAGTTTCCCAGCAGGGAGAGTGGGTGTTCAGTATTCTCTCAATCACAACCTTCACTATGATGGAAATTTGTTAAGGTGCTTAGCGTGACCCCTTACAGAGAACTCTATAGATTGTAGCACTAGATCCGTCATCAGGAGAACTGTCAGATTTGATTCAAATTGGCTAAAACTAGTTATACAGGGGGCAAAACTGGTTACATTTATTGTAAATAATCCAAGAAAAAGCTCACCTGTGGTCTTATATCACGAACTCAGTGCCTGCCTTTATTTAGGAATTATGGTGACATTATTCAGACTGCATTGTACACTTTTACTGCCATATTTCCTAAATAAAGACAGACACTGACTTCATTATATAAGACCACAAGTGCTCTCTTTCTTGAATATTGTATTTTTGGCTGCACTGTTAGCACCTTGGCTGCTTTTAAGAGTTGAGATTACAAGTATAAGGCCCTGGGCACTATATATATATAAATAAGAAGGCAGAGCCTGAAGTTGTGGGAAGGGTTACCCAGCTATTTAAACTCACTCCCTACTGGCACTCACGAATGTCCCAACCTACAGTCAGCAATATTTGACCCCCTCAACACTGACATATTAATCAAAAAGAAAATAGACAATTACTTCATACTGGGACCTTTTTCTCACCCACCTTTTTCTCACCCACCTTTTTCTTGTTGGCGTATCAACCCTACAGGTATTGCCACCGAGAAATTCTCAAATAAAAAACATCTCATTATCAATTTATCGGCTCCACATTCCTTGTCTACTCCAAGTATTAACTCTTTGATCCCCTCTCAGGAATTCTCCTTGCACTATGCCACAGTGGACAATGCCATACATGTCATCTTAAGGGCTGGGGTAGGTGCTTGGTTGGGCAAGACCGACATCTCCAATGCTTTCAAGCATTCAAGCTTTTACTGATACACCCGTCCCTGTGACATGTGCATGGTTTAAAGTGGAAAGGTAAATACTACTTCCCCACACGTCTGACATTTGGAGCAAAAAGTAGTCCCAAACTTTTTGACATGTTCGCAGACACACTAGGTTGGCTCCTGCTCAATATATGTGAATGCCCATCAGTGATCCACTACTTAGACAACTTTCTCATAATAGAAATCCTACATACAACACCTACTAGTATCAGCAAAACCATGGCACTTTTCTCATCTCTAGGGGTTCCTCTCTCACAGGAGAAGTCAGTAGGGCCTTCCACCAATTTGATTTTCCTGGGGATTCAACTGGATCTACAGGCTAGCCTGCCTCTACCTCGTTTCAAGACCTAATCTGGGATTAATCCGCCTAATGGCACATGACAGATTCCTGGCTAGCTCTGCCCTCTCAGTAAAAACCTCAAGAGCATACAACAGGGCTTGTGCTATTAACAGCAAGTTTACATCCAACTATCAAATTAGAGACGTACATTCACTGAATTCTATAGTAGCATTCATTTCCTTTTGCCACCTAAATTTAAAACTCTCTCTCAACACCATAAAACTTTACATGACTGCTTCAAGACACAATGTCCCTGCCCACATCATAAAATGATTAGGATACTGGAAATCCACAGTTTATTCTAGATATATACCACAACCAGAACTAGAGTTGAGATCAACCTTCATGAATCTTGTAAAGATATTTAATAAAGTTATTTTCATTCAACGTTTACCCTCTTTTATTACAGGCCTACCCAATACGTTGGTTTTGGCACACCACAACCGACTTGTTCATATATCTAACTTGTCATAAATATGGCTTTTTGTCCCCGACTACAAATAAGAAGGCGGAGCCTGAAGTTGTGGGAGGGGTTACCCGGCTATTTTGCCCCTTAAGACCGCAGGGCGTTCTATGCCGTCCTTATTTAGATGGCTGTAAACGCCGCAGGGCGGCATAGAACGCCCTGCGATCTTTTGTACTTACCCAGTTGCCGGCGATCCCACGGCGGCGATAGCGGTATGGGGACTTACCTGGGAGCCCAGGGAGTCCCCCTCCATCCTCTTCGGCCCCTCTGGGCCATGTGATCGCGAGGTCCTTGTGATGACCTCGCGATCACATGGACGGCATAGTCGTCCATGGCATTTCCAGCAGGGGGAAGGTCCTGTAATGACAGGTACTCCCCCTGCTGCCTGGAAATAAAATTTAAATATGTTAAAACAGTGTAAAATTAAATAATATATACTTAGATCATATATATATTTATTATATATATGATCTAAGTATATATATATACACATATACACACATACACATACACTGTCTACGTGTATTTTAATATTAATATATACATAATTATATATATATATATTAATATCAAAATACACGAACAATGATATTGATTAAATATATATATAATTTTCATTATATATATATATATATATATTTATATATTATAAAAAATAAATAAATATATAAATACGTTAAAAAAATAAAATAAAAAAATAAATAAAAATAAATAGATAAAAAATATATATACATGCGTAATTTCATTCTAACTGTATTTTAAAATTAATATATATATATTGATATCAAAATACATGTAGAACGAAATAATATATATATCTATATACATAAGTATATACGTATATATCACTATATATATACCTATATATAAATAAAAATAATTTAAAAAATTATATATACATATATATACACACATATATATATATATATATATATATATATATATGTATAATTCTACGTATATATTGATGTAATAATTTTACATAATTAGGTCATTTTATTAATTACAATTTGCAGGACCTGCCTGACAACCCATGCCGAAAGTTCAGGGAATTTAATTTTCTTGCACTATATTTAACCCTGTAACTTTCCAAGACACCATAAAACCATGAGGGGTACTGTTTTACTAGGAAGACTTCGCTGAACACAAATATTAGTGTTTCAAAACAGTAAAATGTATTACAACGATGATATCGTCAGTGACAGTGACAGTGACAGTGACATTTTTTGCATTTTTTACACACAAATGGCACTTACACTGATGATATAATTGTTGTGATACATTTTACTGTTTTGAAACACTAATATTTGTGTTCAGCAAAGTCTCCCGAGTATAACAGTACCCCTCATATACAGGTTTTATGGTGTTTTCAAAAGTTACAGAGTCAAATATAAGGCTTGCGTTTCAATTTTTTCACATAAAAATTTGCCAAGTTGCCTTTGAGAACGTACGGTAGCCAAGGAATAAAAATTACCCCCATGATGGCATACCATTTGCAATAGTAGACAACCCAGGGTATTGCAAATGGGGTATG